TACTAACGACCGATCAGACAACAACATAGCAGTAACGATGCTTGGGTTTGCCAGTACAATATTGGTTGCCCTATCACTGGACCGACACTAATCCGACATATTCGTATCATACATAGGTATCTACTTTGCTAAAAATTATTATTATTTTCAATTTCTTCGTCTCAGATTACATAGGATGAGCGATGAGTGACATTTATACATACGAAAACCGAGTTTGTGTTTTCCCTTCGGACGTCTTACTTGTTTACATTACTAATAGTTATTGGAAGATGACATAGTTTGACTTATTAATTGCAGTACTACTTACATTTTTGGAGATACGTTGTTATCTATATAGCAGATTGCACGTCGCTGTCATGTTTATGTTGTTGAGTCTGAAGGAAGGTAAAAGGTTTATGAAATCGCTCCAAGTAATATATATATATATATATCAAGGATAAATAGTTCGATTTTAAATGAAATTTAATGTCTATAGAATTTATTAATTTATAATAAAATCAATTAACTAACTGTATGTAATAATTCTGTTAAAAAAGACAATAAGTCAAAATGAAGATATTATATTTCTGATTAATCCTCACTTATCATTGACGAAAATTGAGGCTTATATGTAGTCAATTTATTCTAACGTAAAATTATAATATGAATAATACAAAATATGTATTAAATAACTATATTTGCATAAAATGTATGATTGTATCTTCTTTTATCGGCATTGCCGTTTCAAAAAAAAAATAAAGGATAACATAATAAATTATAAAGGGTGACATATCATTACCAATTGTTCGTACAAGTTTTATATATCGAAAGGAAAAATAAATTATGAAATACAACGTTGAGAATAAAATAGCGATACATTTATTTTTTGTTTACTCGGCTCCTTCCCTGTTTTTAATTTAAACATATCATTTATGGGGTTAAGACCTTCTGAGATTTGCATATCTGTTTAAGGTAATTTGACAGGGTCCGCGTGGATACAAATTCATTTCATTATAACACTGTCTGCTATGCATAATACGACCTTATGCATATTGGACGAGAAGGCTCGGAACGGAAATTACATGAGCGGATTAAAGATTGTTTGTCGAGACCATCGTACGTGTAATAGAATAATTTTCTGACTTCATGAGTTTGTTATCATTGAAAGGATAATTGAAAAGTATTGTTACTTCGAAAACGTTTTTGATCGTTTCGTTTTTTTAATACTATGTTAACTAGTCATCTCAATAATGATTACTAAAATTCCTTGTTGTAAATATTACAAATAACATGAAATTATAATAAGAAATGTAGGTAACATGAAAGTCTGTATAATAATATTGTTCAACAACTGAGTTTTTGTAAAAAAAAAAGTGAATAATTTAATTTAACAATTTATTCTTAAAAGTCGATTCCTTAGTATACCGTTTCACTTTCAAATATGGAATAATAAATGTTGTCGAAACTTTCTTGACAGACTGCCCTACATTTTTCGCTTGCATGTAAAAATTGTTAAAAAAATCACCTTTCATTTTAGCTAACCCGTGTTAAACTATATAAAATAGTCAAAACATTTTCATTTTGAAGGTGTGCCTATATTTGAATTTGCAGTGTGATCGGTTAACTATGACCCAGGTATGTACATTGAATATTTTAAAAGATATCTGTTATTATTTAAAAAAGCTTTAAGTTTATGCGGTTTAAACACACGTCAAAAATGAAGTTATATTTTTGAGAACAAAATTAGACGAACTATTAACAGCTATAAAAGTATAAAGAGAATAATAATTTTAAGTTATTCACTGAGTCGTAGTTAGCCAAATACCCGGCAGAGCATATTTAATGTATGACATAAAAACGAGTAAATTTTGTTTTGTTAAAAATAACGCATTGCGTATCGTCTTAACAGCGACGTTCAATTATAGGTAGGTACCATAGATAGGTATCAGACTGTTAATTATAATTTATCATTTTTTCTAAAAAGATGCACACTGCACAGCATATTAAACAGACACGTGTACTTCAGTGGGCTGTGTAATGTGTATGTGTGCATTACGAAATCGAATTAATAAATGCCCGCATAATTGAATGTGTAACGTGTGGCTCGCGACAACCGATACAGCGGTTATAACTGGACAACCACCGTGCGAAAGTTCGCTATAGGTCGTACCTAATGCAATTTCACAGGACCCGACCACAAATAACCTTATTAGATTTCAAACGGATTAACAAAACAAAAAATTCCATCTTATATTATTGGAATACATTTTTTTTTTTTTAATTTACGTTAAACCGGTTCGTCGAATTAATCTGGTAGCAGTGTTTTTTGTTAAATTTTTTATTTTTAACAAAATTACAAGTTTCAGGTGTACCTGCGAATACAAGGTACACGAAAAAATGGACGGATGCACTAAGAAAGTTTGTATATTTTTTGTAAAACAGCTGCCTAATTCAGAGTTGTAAATGATTTTATATGGAGAAATATTACTGTTATTCATTTTTAATTTTTGTAACCATAGTGATATAGTTATAGAAATTATTCAAATGTCAATCTCTTTTTAATTTTTATGTATGCACAACATTTTACCATAAATACAAATTATTACTTGATTAATTCAAACTCTTCCTGTGTGTAGTTTTTGTCAATAGAATATATGTTCAGACAACTTTAAGCTCAAATTATTGTTTAAACTTTTAATAAATCTTCAATAATGTTTATACCCTTTTATCAGCCTTAGGAAACTTTACTAACTAATTAACAACTATAATTAAAAGTTAAAATGCAGATGTAAATAATTACAAAAAAAAACAAAAGATTGACGGCTTTGTCTCTCGCATGACAATAGAGTTATATATTGATAATATTTCTTAATTGTTCTTTTAACGTATAAACATAAGTTGCTTAAAAAAAATTTTGATACTGAAATTGTCGATTATATTATATTACCAACATTTTTTAGTGGACATAGTTTTATATTGAGTTTCATTGTTTTAGGGTTTATTAAAGAGTTAATTTTCAAACGATAGCGTTTGTCATATATTAATACATTGAAATTAAAAATGTTTGAATGATTAAATGTGTAAATTAGAATGAGATTATTATTATTACGAGTTTACCTATTTACTGAAAGCCTCCATTTTTTTAATTTAGTAGGCTACTATAATAAAAGACATGTATTTTATATTTATGGTCATGGTTTATGAAAGTAAATCATATTAGTATCAGAAGACAGAGTATAATCCGACAATTTAACAAACTACTAACGTGTCGTTTATCGATTTTCAGAATTTATGACTTACACGTTATGTAACGCCAAGTAATACTGGTCCTCGTCAAATTAAAACAGGAAAAGTACATTTTTATGTTGACAAAATAAATAAATAAGGGAATACAATATTTCTAAATAAATTTTCTATGGGAAATTTAATTTAAATGTGAAATCAGCTAAAACTGATATACAACACGTATTGTGTTTTACTAAACTAATAGCTAACTCATTTACATGTTCTCAAAAAACTATCTTATTAACATGGTACTTGATATTAATCAGGGTCATTAATTATTTTCTCGGAAAATAATTGCAATTTCGTAGTTTTCTGTAAAATAACATCAAATAGAGTACCGCAAAAAAACTAGCCATTTTTTTACAATGTAAAATTCTATGGAAAAAAGTTATTTTTTAGTGATTTATTAAATGTTTAAAATAAAATTACTATCAAATTCGGTAATTTATATTACAATACCTTTCAAACGATAAAGGTGGATAAAAAGCTTGTAAAATAACATACGGATTGTATAATTGGTTGACTATTGGTAACACTATTATGATTGTCGTGTACCTACTGAGCTAGACGGCATAAACACACGTTTGTCAAATATTCTTGGTTTCGAGATTTAAAAAGATGCGAATGTCAATGTTGGTTTAGCCGTATTATAGTAAACGCATGTTACATATTGTTGTACAATCTTTTGTTTTTAGACAAGCCCAAACGTCGAGAACCAAAATTCTATGTAAATACTTATGTCTTTTTGAAATTGTGTCTAAATATGTTTCGTATTACAAACAGAAAATGCCCTCTTTACAATTTCAATAGACAAACAAATTTTATTTCATTAGTTTACTGTGAAAATAACGAAATGTCCTATAACGATAATTATTGAAATCGATTTCTTTTTCTCTATAAAAATAATCGTTTTTTTTCTAGAGATTTTTTTTTTATTTGTATATAATCAAAATTATGAATAATTTTTATACCTGCGCCACTCCTCAGTTCTGTCCTACCGTGTGATTTTTGTAAAATCAACGAGCGTAAAAAAATAATTTATTCGTGACTACTGAATAATTATTTCTGGACAAACGGTTTATGGCGTTTTCATCTCGTTTTGATTAATTTATTGAGGTAAAATTCAATAAAAAGTAAAATTATTATTGTATTTTACACGTCGCGTCGTCATAAGAAAATGTTACATTATTTATTTCGCATTTCATTCAATATGTAATATTTGTTAAATTGCAGCTTTTAATATTTTTGTTAAATAGTATTTATTTAATGATTAGAAAAAAAACCGAGAGTATAGTATAATTATTATAATGCAACTTGCATATATTTTGTAGGATTTAAAATACCTATTAATAACCTAACGTAGTACTAGTCTTACTGACATTATTACTGCATTTTTATTGGCATACTATTATGTCTGTGATAATATTCTGTGTCTAACTGTCAATGCTGGACATGTATACTGTCTTAAAGTTGTCACAGTAATTAACGAATTAACGTTTCTTACCATTACTTGTTTTTAAATAATTATCGATTCGGTAGTAACTCAAACAGTAGTAGCTAGTGTTAGACCGAACAAGCCTAGTCGGTAACCATTATTGGTGCAGTATTGCATCTGTTGGGAAAACACAAATTTCATACACCAAAGTTAAAGATTACAACAATACTTATTTATAGTTAGTAATGTATTATAAAATAATAAAAATAACGATTTAAATTAAAATGTTTAATTTGTTTAGGTACAATGAAACTCAGCGTAACGTCATTTCGAGCGCATTCGTCGGCTCAGAAAAAAATATTGAAGTACCAAAACCAGCTCAATTATATCGCGCCTCATGTATCCGTAGTACCGAGTATTAATTCACCTTCGTCTACTCAAAATGTAAGTAGTGATCGCTTTAATTGTATTTTAATTTTAAAATTAATAGCATTATTGTAATAAAAGTTTTTCTCCGTGAAAACTTTTTATAAAATAAGTGCAAGAGATGACTCGCAGTGTTTTTCTGAATGAGCTAATAAAACAATTGGTTAATTAACTTTAGGTAAAGAATCTGTTCATTATAAACCATTAATAATGTTAAGGTATTCAATGTAATGGGTCTGTATACTAAACGAATTCTCATTGAAAACCATCATCAAAATAAACACAAAAGATTTAATTTCAACACTTCCCTCTTCTCTTCTCTTCCGAGTTGTGTCAGACACTGGCGATGTATAAAAAATACATCAATTATTTTGCTTGACACAAAATATTTATTATACAACTTATTAAAACAAATATAATATTATAAGAACAAAATTGTTATTCAGTAACAAATATAGTTAAACATTTTTTAAATAACATTTTAGTAAATAAAAACTTATAAACAAGGACGAAGCAAATAATATAGGTTTTAGGTTTACAGTCAATAATATGTCAAAGTATATTAATTTTATTTAAAGCATAGTGAGGTATAACATATTTCATTGTGATATTATTTATCATACAATTTAAAGTTCATAATACTTTTTGTCGTATTTAGGTATGACATAATAATCGATATGTGCACAAAGGAAACGATATTGTCAAAAAAGTTAGACTATTTTAGAATGATAAGTTTTATTATCACTAACCGTAACTTTTGATATTATCATTAGAGCCAAATACCATGCACTTAGCAAGAATTGTTTTTTTTTTATTACACAAACTATCAATAACTTCTAATGAAATTGTAAAACATTGTTATATAGTAGGTATAAAAAAATAATTTAGAGGTTATGGATGGATTTCGAGTGTTTGTCACTTACTAGATATGTTTACACAACGTCATCAATAAAATACACAAAAGACAAAAAAAAAATTGTCATCTCCGCTTTTGTAAAAGGATGTTTACAAAAATAGGCCAAATAAAAAGCAAAAATATAATATGATTTTCGGTTGAACATGTTTATCAAAGAGAATGGTTTAAAGTATTATTTCATGAAATTAATTGCTAAACGCGTCACCGTGTCTTATTAATGAGTTATGCATATTTCTTTGTGATAGTTGCACTAGGTATTATATTTTGTGTACATTAGTATACAAACAGCATGTAAAGTGATCAAAATGTATCCTGCTAAAAGTTGTCTCTTTATGCCTACGCGTTATTATTCAACGTTTGCCTGCTTTGAATAGTTTTGTACTCTTTTTTTAATTTTTAAATTCTGTGTTGGATTAAAGGATTTTGTATGATTAAATTTGGACCTCATAAAAACAAAAGTCTAGCTAATTACATAATTCCTCCACATACAATTTTCAACACTATCGGTCTTTGTACTCGTATGTGATATAAAGACCATTAACGGGTGTTCCAGGTAACACTCAGTTTTTTTAGATCATAAAAATCATATGTGTAAATTATAACTATTGTCTTTTATTATTATTTTGGATAAATATATTATTGGTTATCAATGCTTATGTTATACAACTCGATATTCTTTTTGGGAAATTCATAATATTGTAGTTATTATTTATAAGTTGCATAACTTTATTTTAGTCTTAAACACTTCTGTAATTTTTCTTCCACAAAAGAAAGTCTAAAACACTTTCTTTAAAGTGAAACATAATTTAAAAACCGGCACAGTTCCATGGGAACCATCCAGATGAATACTTCTGAGGGGTTAACTAAAGAAAATTAAGGTTTCTAATTACTTTCAAAATAATCTTTCAAATTAAATGCTATATAAAACTTTTACTACCGCATCAATCCGTTGAAAACCATTATTTTTAATGTACAGATTACTTTTGTCAAATTGTTGTTTTAATTAGTGATCTACTGCGGCTTGTTCGATAATTATCTGAAAAAAGTTATAATTTTAGTGTTTTAGTGGTATATTTATCTTATTTATTAATTAGAACGACTCTGATGATGAACTTAATTCCGAAACCTAACCTTAATTCCGAATGTTAATGTAACGACTAGTATCTAGCTTAATTTATTGTATTTAGTTATGTGTATTTAGAACATAGCTTCTGACAGAGTTCCACTACAACAAGTGTTGTAAGGACCATAAATCTTTGGTTCGAAAAGTAAAATCATATAAAAGGATTTTGGTTAATAGTAATAATTTTAGGTCGAGTCTAACGAGTGTGTTATTAATCTGAAATGGAACCGATGTATGCCACTGACAATTTATTATGCCCTCGTTTCTGACATATGGGCTGCACAAGTTCTCATCCTGAAGAGCTATCCAAAGACGGAGTGACGAATGTTAAAATAATAATACTATACTTAAAGCTATAGAAAAACGGTCAAAAATTTGAACGGTAAGGTATATCATTACTAATAACAGATATTTTATTTTGCTTACGCCATGCCGCGCCGCCTCATCTTATTCTTTGACGATTGGTTAATTCAATCACTATTATTACATAATATTCCGGGTTTGATTATTTTTATTATTTTATAATTTAGAAGGTGTAGCGAATATTGCTTAATACGGGGTTCCATAATGATTCGACAAAGAAAATAACTTTTGTTCTAGTGAATATTTTTAAGATTTTTTTTAAAATTAATTTATGCTCATTTGCGCTATAAATAAGCACCACGTTTTTTATCGCACTTAACTATTTTACTTTTTTATTTTTTTTAGTTACATTCTAAAGTAAGCGCGTAAAGCTATTTTTATCTGTACGCATTACTCTACCGCAATCAACCTCCCATTCTACCCTTTCACATTTAGTAACTTAAAAAGTAATTATCCAAATCTGGTTATCAACCAGACAAAAATTTCAGCAAATTGTTCTTAATTATAACAGCCATCTTAAATTTTTTTTTTAAATGTAACAAAAAATAAAAAATAATTTAAAAAAGTAAAATAGTTAAGTGCAATCAAAAACGTGGTGTAGCGCAAATGAGTATAAATTAATTAAAAAAAAAAAAAATCTTAAAATTATTCACTAGAACAAAAGTTATTTAATTTGTCGAATCATTGTGGAACACTTTGTATATGCGAATATTGGACACCCTACAGAACTTTGTTTTTATAAAAAGAACTCGTTCCAAGACTTAGTTTCTTTTGGAACGAGTTCCTTCTGAACATTGCAATTTTTCTGTTTTTACTCTCGGTATACTTTTCGGTATTAATGCCAAATTCCGAAAAAACCAAAGAATATCAAACAACGAAAATTCTTCAAGGTTATTTCAATAGCGGCATTATTGCACGATGTAAACACTTGAAAAATACAAACACTTTTATTATTACTATTTTTTTTTTGTAGCATTAACGAGGTGTGAAAACGCTTTATCGGAGTAGGGGAAAATATCATAGATTTATCATTTTGGATGTTCCATATAATTGAATAGTCACTTTTTTTCTACGACTACGACAGCGGGGCGTCCAAAACGGAAGGCGAAAAATAGGGCGTCAAACAATCGCCGAGGCGAACCGTGGCGGCCACCTAGCGGCGGTCCTCCGACCAAAGCTTTGCCGGTATGTTCTATCAGTACCGCAGTGGTAGTAGGTATCACTTAACCCCATGTCTGAATGCGAATCGGTCGTCTGTAACATGCGTTCCGCCGTAATAGGGTTCAGTGTTTAACAAAAATACCGTCTCGCGTATTTATTATATTAGTTCTATAAAATTAACAGTTTGATTTTTGTGCCATGGCTTTCGCCAGTAGACTTTTCTGCGGTTTGTTGCAATTGACGAGATACGATTATCTTCAGGACTTTTCGTCGTGTAACGCACGTGCCACGCCAAACTCATAATGGGTAAGATGTAATATTATAATATTAGGTACACGTTACAAAGATTAAACGTTGTTTTGCCGTTATGTTAATTTAACCCGCTGAATCATTTTGAAAATAAAGCTGTCATGTTGACACGTAACAGTTTTCAATTTTCATACCTCAAATTATGAGGTGGTGTGGTCATAGAGGCTTTTGAAATGTGACGACTCATATGAGCTAGCTGTTTTTCTTTATATACTTTATACGTTTCTGGAAAATAAAATACTAGTATATTATTTTAACCAACAAATGTTCGTTAATCTCGTTTTGTAATATTGTGTAATACAACTGCGACTTAACGATTTGCCACGACTTAGCAAAATTAAACTTACTACAATACATCGAAATTTAAATAAGTATTACAATATTTTTAATTTACAAAATATATTTTTTAAGTGGACGTCTATTATATAGATAATATTGATGAGATAAACGTTACTTTACATAACCATAGATATATAAGGCGATTAAAAATAATGAATACGTATTAACTGCAGATTAAAAGTTGTTATGATTATAACTTTCAGTTACCACATTATCACATTTGGTTCCTATTGTGCTAATTACAAAAAAAAAAAATGAAATAGCTAAAAATTGTTTTTTGACCAGGTAAATTTCTCAGTAGAATTTTGTTGTATAAAATAATTAATAACAAAATATATCGGTATGTTACCAATAAAGGTTGTATAAATTCTCGAAAATAATAAAATAGCATTAGACAAATATTTTATACTGTAAAATATTTTCAAGAAGGAACGCTGTAAAACGGTTTTTTTCCTGTGGAAACTTTCGCCATTGATCACCCCTGTATAGGTTTCCACTTGAAAGTCAAACATCGATGGCTTAAGTAATCAAGTTAGTAGAGGGTAATATAGCATGTACATTAATAAGCAAGTAAATAAATAATCGACGTTTTTGGACGAGAAAACAATCGAATCGAAGAAAAATTGGCTAAATAACGATTTAGCTGTCCATGTTAAACAGCACTATATTACTTTTCAAATGAACCGTTTATACATACCCAAAGCGATATTTTACTACAAAACATTTATAATATATACATAAATGCGACCGTTACAATATGCTATAAAATGGTAAATATTAGTTATATTATAGTACATTAGGGTCAATTTTATTAATGTTTTATTTTATATTTGCGATTTAATTAAATCCCTAGAAGAAAATAGGTCATAAAATAGAACTAGGTATTACTTCTATGTTAAAAACTAAAGAAGCATAATTCTAAAAAAAATACACAAGCTATTTAGGATGTTTTTCGTTAAAATATAATAGGTAATAAGACGTCTTGCATAATAAGTAGTATGATGAAATATGTAAGTCTTTAAAACTATATGAAACTTTTAAATACATCTTGTAAAAAAACCAATACCTTCGCCGTTGTGTATCGAAGCTAAAAATACCAACCTATAGAGTTTCATCAACCGTCCCATAAGTACTTTTTTTCGGATCTTTAATTTGCATAAATGAAAAAAATACAAAGGTCCAATTGAATTGATAACATTATTTTTAATTAAATTTAGGTGTATGTTTGTGAGAAAAACATTATTTACAGGATATTAGAAATTTTGTACGATGAATAAATTTATCTTTTACTCGTATTAATTTGGAACTGGTCATATTATGAATACAAATACCATTTAAATCGAACTATCGACTTAAATAGTTTTTTTTAACCAAATTGGCCATGTTGCTAGTAAACTAATGCAATTTCCTTTTTAAATACTAGTTCTGCTATTTCCCTAACTTTGTTTGGTAATACGAGGATACATTGTTTAACTAACGAAATATAGAAAAAGCATTCATTTGTTTGTGTGAATGGTAATTTTGGGTAAGGCTAAATAACTGTGCGTTCATTTTATTTTTTTTCAAGAAAAATTGTTGTTTAATCGCGCTATGTTTACGACATGTTAGGTCATTTACTTATGACTTTGGCGGTTTATTTAAAGCATGTGGGACTTTTTCATCAAATAACCAATTACCATATTCGAAAGCTCATTTTTTTTTCGGTGGCGCCGGCAGTACGGTTGAATTTTCTGGGACTCTTATGGAATATCCACTTACCCCATGAAAGCAAATCGGTACCAGCCTAAAATGAGTGTTGTGTATTTATTGAAAAAATATAGTTTTGTAAACAGTATACATTATTTGATTATACAGATAAATTATTTAAACATACTGTTCCGTAGACTGCTCGGTATTGGACACCTAATGGTCCTCCTACCATTAGGACCATATAAACCTATTGGTTTATTCACCTAATAAAATTAAGTAAATTAGTTTTGTTAGTACTGTTAATTTTTTAAAGGCTGTATTCAATATATTTTATTAATTATATGATTTTATTTTAACTATATCAATTGATAATGGTGTAAATAATTAGTACTTAGGAGAAGAGGGTTACAAATTTTAGGTTAACAAGAAGAAGAGTTACTTCACTCGTATATAATAAAATTGCATTCAGTAATCGATTCAACTAATTCCGGAACAAATGCTTCCGTGTTTCAAAAGTTGTAAAATTGTCGTTCCTCTTTTTTCCCCGAAGTTTTAATCGTTCTCGTTTTATCGTTAAAACAATAATTAATATTTAATGTATCACTTAGTGTATTTTATAACTAAGTATTTTTCCAGAGCAACAGAATTTTGTTTGTTTCGAACGAATAAAGGAACGGTTACATTTAAACATTAATTCCAAACCCCTAGTTGAATCTACGACAGCTATAGTTTTTCCATTTATATTCAACGAAGAGCTGTTAAGCCCGTTAAATTAGTAAAACAGTTTTTACTGGTTGTAGTGGTGCTAGTTATTTGACGTTTCGAAGTTTTTTTCAGCTTTTATTGTCAGCAATGTCTATAAAATAAGTAGGTATAGAGAAAATTTGATTAATTCTATGGCTATAATATACTTGATTATTATAAAAATACTAAATTAAACTTACAGATAATATAAATAATACTGCAAGGCATTTTGTAATGTTTTGGGGAAACATCGTGTACATTTTAATTTTGCGACTTTGAATGGCAAATAAACGATTGTGGTTGCGATGCCTGTAACTGACGAGAGAAAAGTATAGCAGATTAAAACATGTTCCATATTTTGTAATTTTAGCCGTTAGGCTTTAAGTAAACTGTAACTTTATTGAGATAACCGTAATAGTGTGTTCAAAATAAATAACCAAAGAACTAAGAAGAATTCTCATTACTGTATTAATAAAAGTATATCTTATAGTTTAAGCTCTAAATAAAGATTCCACAAAAAGTTGCCTTTACTTTGCTTCTTAATAAAAGGGTAGGTAGCGTCTTCTTAAAAGTCTAAAACGATCATTTTACGAACGCATTCTGGGCAGGAATCAAGTTTTCACGCTAGAAAATTATAGTTCTAACGTCAAATGTTTATATTGAATGAATGAAACATTATACTATTTTGGCTACAAACAAGTTTATTTAACGTTTTCAATTTTCAACAAAAAAAAACCACTCGAAAGTTTTTGGTTAGTTTTGTAGCATTTTTTGGGTTATAAACAAACAACTGTTTGAAACATAAAACCAGGGTTCTTGATAACATTAAACTGAATGTAGACTGAGGGTGAGCATCATATTATATCTTCCAAAACTCTACAACACGCGAATAAATGATACACATAGTTTTAATTTGAATATTATGTTTTCATTAGACGATAGTGCAATTGAAAAATTATCACAATTAAATTTGCACAGTTATCATTTTATTTACCTAGCCATACTTGGTCTGTAAATTGTTTGGTTCATTTAATTTTAACAATATACTTTTTTAAACACAGTAAGCTTAAAATATGTATTTAGATGTATGTTGTAGTATTATCATTGTTAGGATTAATGGCATTATCTTTCGAGGTAAGCGTATTTAGAGTTGGTATCAGTTTGTCTCGGCTACGTTTTTATTTTTGAGACTATATACCTATTTATACACAAATGGTTTCAGGGTTGAGCATACCAAAAATGTTATCGACAAAATATTTCGTTTTAATAAACATTTATTATTTTTAAATCAGTTTAAACATAATTGATAATATTCTTGAATTGTACATGGTATCTAGTGTGATAAACTATGTGTATTTAAGCTATAATAAAACAATAAATTGTTTGCCACTAAAAATAAGATCCATTGTACGTTAAAGCAACTGTCCAATTTAGGATTAGGTTATGAAACAATAAAAATATAGATTTATGTAAAATATGATAATATAATAATGATATTTAATATGATAATATTAAAGAAATAAATGTTTTCATGATGTTTGTCAATCGTGCCATGTTTACGACATGTGATTTTCGGTGTAAGGCAAAGATGTATCATAATCGTAACCAAATTCATTTTGTTCTGGCGGCACGTACGGTACGGACGAACGTTCTGGGACCACTCCATTAAATATCCAATCGCCCAATGCTTGTGGATTGGTACCAACCTAAGACAAATGTTGTGTTTTTTTGAAAAAAATATAGTTTTGTTTACAGTGATATTATTTGATTATTATACAGCTAAATTGTTTAAACTTACTGCCTCGACGACTTCTCGATATTGGACTTCGTTTGCATTCACCTAATAAAATTAAGTAAATTAGTTTTTTAGACACAAGTATTTTTTAATGGCTGTTGACAATATATTTTATTGGTTAGATGATTTTATTTGACCAATATCAATTGACAATGGTGTAAATGGTTGATATTTAGGAGAAGAAGAATACAAATTTAAAATTAACGCTAGGCACTTCCCTTAGATAGAAAACAAATTTCATTCAATAATTATTCTCTGTAATAATTACCTCTGATCTATATTTTGCGGAGGTTTTTCGATAAATTATTAAATAGTTATGAGAAATTGCACTACCTATATCTCCATTGTCATAATTGCCAGTGTTTTTGATTTTGAAAAGTAAAATCTACTAGACTTATGTAACTTTATTTAATAATAAAGGTGATGCTTATGGTAATAAAGTTAGCCGAACTTAATGGTAGTATACAATTGAATCAGTCATTTCAAAAACGACACAAGTCATAAAATTTAGTATTTACACTAACCACAAAAAACTTCATTACTCCAGAAATTCAACTTATTTTGCACTTTCACCTACATATTTACTAATTTATTTTTAAGATTTCTGATATTCATAATCCATAGTTTTATATAATAGTCTAACTTTGACCATAATTAATAAAATTGAGATAAAACATATTTGACTTGCGTTATTTTTGCAGGGAATAGAAATGTATCATATAAAAATCGGTGACTTTTGTCGTTTTTGAAATGACTGGTTCAATTATACAAAACTGAATATATTTTTTTATTTAAGTAATTTGTTTTATGCAATTTTTATTGTTGCATTCATGACATTTATTGTGTTTCTGTTTAGTATAGTGACTGCACTAAAGTTATACAGGTGATCAAAATTGTATGTATTGCATTATTTGTTAAGCATAAACAAAATAAACAAAAATTCACCCAAAAACTTATATTAGTAGAACGGAACTTTTTTGTTTCGAATAAATAAATGTATCCATTATACTTTTTAGCATTAATTTCAAAACTCTAGTTGGGACCTCTAGTTGGGCTTTTTCGATTTATATTAAACAAAGAGCTGTTAAACCCGTTCAATTACTAAAACAATTCTTACTTGTTGTGGTGGAGATTCTTTAATGTTTGATTCTTGAACGTTTGGTTGATTATCATTATCACCAGCTTTCATAGTTCCAAGCAATGCCTATATAATAATTATATAAAGCAAATTCGGTTAATACTTAAACTTAAACTAAAACTTATATTAGTAGAACGGAACTTTTTTGTTTCGAATAAATAAATGTATCCATTATACTTTTTAGCATTAATTTCAAAACTCTAGTTGGGACCTCTAGTTGGGCTTTTTCGATTTATATTAAACAAAGAGCTGTTAAACCCGTTCAATTACTAAAACAATTCTTACTTGTTGTGGTGGAGATTCTTTAATGTTTGATTCTTGAACGTTTGGTTGATTATCATTATCACCAGCTTTCATAGTTCCAAGCAATGCCTATATAATAATTATATAAAGCAAATTCGGTTAATACTGTAAGTATAAAGTTTAATAATATACTATATTATTACAAAACTACTAAATTATACTTACTGATAATATAAATAATACTGCAAGGCACTTTGTAATGTTTTGTGTTAACATGGTGCAAATTTTTATTTGAGACTTTGAATGGAAAACAAATGATTGTGGTTGCGATACCAGTAATCGACGAGTGTAAAGTATAGCTATGCTGTCTGAAGTCTTCTTTTTAGGTTTTTATAACTCATAAAATAAACAAACCCATTTTTTAAGTTTATATGAATAAATATTAAATGAACATAAACAAAAACAGTCATGATTGAATTTAAGTTTTTATATTGAATGTTTACTAAGATCCAAATTAAAATAAATAAATGTTTTTTTCCAATAATTTATTAGTTTATTCAATTGTAGGTGCCTGCAACTGTGTCTTTAAAGAAACTTATTGTATTTTTTTGAATCATATTACTCGATATCGTTAATACATAATATGATTTAAAAAAAAATGAGCACCAGTAATTGTTAACACAAGTTCATGTTTTTCAGTTCTTATTATTTTTATTGAACATAATAATAATAAAATATTTACGGCAACAAAAAAATCCTAGACAGACAAAGCTTTCAGTTATTTTTTTTGTTCTTCTACTTTGTGCCTAACATAATATTATTGTGTTCAATATTATTTTTGCCTAATATTATCATAATAATATTATCAATATTACTTTATTGGGAAATAATTTAATATTATACACAAGGCCAAACCGTATATATTAATTTCTCAAATCAATACTCTGTTTGAGGTCAAGATAGCGACAAGATTACATTTTGAGTAGTATTAAAGAGTGCATTTAAAACGTGTGTTGTTTATGCGAGCTTAGTTTTTATTATTCAAGCCATGTTTAGCTTAAGAAGTAGGTACGTCAACACTAGAAGAAGAATGAAGGGTCTAGGGACGGTTTTACTCTCAGTGGGACGAATCAATGTATACAACCGGGTAGGTGTTTCCCAACCGTGATTGAATGAAGGGGACATATTTTAATTATGCATTACCACCACTATTATATGTATAAATATATATATATATATATATTATAATTTATTAGCCGAAGATTAACATAACTATAGAACCAGTCATATCCAATTAATTTATTCCAATGTTTTGTTTGCAAGAAACAACCGATTGAAATTTGTGTTTCAACTTAAAGTTACATAATAATTAATAGGTATGGTTTTGTTCTCAATATTTTCCGTTAAATTTGATTGTATCAAATTTCCTTTGCATAATTTATAATTAAATTTTTTTTAAATGCGGCGTTTAACATTTCTTTTTTAAAACACTTTTGTGTGCAGAAAATAATACACGAAAGAAAACTTAAGTACCTAATACTTAGAATACTTAAATAAACTTAATTATCTTAAATACCCGTGTACTTTTGCTTAAATTCTTGTAAAACCTGACACACATACACATCAGGCTGATTCTTTTATAAAAGAAGAAAAACAAAGCTGAAAAGGCTAAAATACCCATTTGGTCACTTTACACTTATTCGCTAACTAATGGCAGGGCTGGCTGTTGTTAAGGTTTTCACAAAGCGATTCATTTTAGTTGTTGCCAACGATACTGTTCAAGCCTTAATCTGATCGTTGAAAGTCCATTATAGTTTGTAACCCAGTAATACAAATGACTGAAATCACTACGCGATATGCCATTTAAATAATTAATTATTTCATTATATATATTATTGTAAGAACAATAATTTTGTCAGTCCAAAAAGCTGGTCTGAGCGGGGAAATTTTGAGATATATGTGTACACCCTTCAACACCGATTATGTTTATAATAATGTAACCGTGTGTTACCAAATTAAAATTTTTTTATATACATTATATTTAAATTATTAGTATTGAATTCAGTATAGTTAAGGTTTTCAAAAATTTAGCTTATCAATAGAAAAAAAATGAAATACTATATTACAACAACTTTGTAATACTTTAAATGCAAATTATTTTATGAAAAAACTCTCAGTAAATCGTCATGGTGCTCATTTGAATTATTCTTGTTGATATTTTGTATTCTTTGTGATTTAAATTTTGATAATAAACCTACATTTACGGCTAATTGTGCGAGAAAGCAGTCACAAAGGAATATGTAAAAAAAACGTGTTTTTGAATGGTAAATGAAAAAATATTTTTTATTTGATTAATTCTTTTCTTTTATCGTCAACATCAAAACCAATTAAGTTTAAATTCGATTTCTTCAAAATAAAAATAAGGTACAATTGTCTGAAAATATATATATATTATAATAATTATATATATTTATTAATTTATACGATAAGGAATAAAATTACAATGATATCACGAAATATATTATATCTTACATTTTGTAATGACTGATACATTAATACTAATTAGTAAATTATGATAGGTTTATACTTTAATGAAAATTTGTACCTAAACGATGTGTGTAATTATAAGATTATAAAAAAAAACAGTTTATACGGTAATTTCATATTAACATGATTTATGCATTTTTTAATTCAATGTAGATTAAATAACTCAAGTTCCTTTAGTAGAAAATTGTATTTTGTTATTAATTTTTTTCTGTATTGGAATGAGCAGTAAATAGAAAAGAACCTTTTATTTTTCGATACCGTATAATATACTGTGTATATGTATAATACATAATACTGTGTACATATATTTGGAGTCAAGCATGAAGCATCTATTCTTCCTTTCGATTTCTAACATATAGACCGTATACCTACTTCTACCATACAGCCTGCAGCCATATTATATTAAAATATATTAATATAACCATGTAATAAAAAAAGTTTATTTCTTTCGGCTTCATACATCTGTGAAGTATGCTTTATTATATACATAATATATATTATTATGTTAAACGCATGCGCTTTTCATTTTTACCATACAAACCCTTATAATTTATAAGCCAAACTAAATTCGTATTATACATGAATAAATAATATATTATATTTTATCATTAATGGATCGTGTTTTATAATTATTGTACATCATATAATTTTTGTATATTTTATGTTCATATACTTATGATAATAAGAGTATATGCAATCGATTACAGAGTTTTGGTTCATTTATTTCTACTTCTATATTAGATTAAATATTATATAATATGAGAAAAATATATTGATGATATTATCTTCAACGTTATGGTACACAATGGAGCATTATTTAAATACTATTATTATTCATTACTGTAATTATGAATTTTCGCGACATTTGAAAAACCAACGCGACGAGTTAATTTAGGTAATCTGACATGTTGAATAAACGGCGTCACTCTTGTTTTTGTATGCTATATTATGTTGGTTTCACGGGTGCTGAAACAATAATAAAAAAAACTTACAATATAATCGTTACTACATGGACGACCACCTGAACTAATCTCCCTAGTGTGCTCTAGGGATTATGAGGGGACTGTTTTTGCGCTTCGGTTTTTGAGAGACGAGTAATTTTTCATACTTTTGTAATGACCGCTATAGTAACAAGAGCGGTTGTTATCTAAACTGCGTAATGGTCTTTGGATCCCTATTAAAGACCTAACCTTACACGTGGAAGTATTATGTGTTTGCAGTTTGATTATAAATCCGATTGAACGGAGGTCACTGGTTTCTGCCTTTGAAAATCTATCCGGCTTATTAATATATATTGGTTTCTAATGCGATTTAGTGTTACATCAGCGAAAAGAAACATTTGATAAATATTCGATTTGAAAGAAAATAGAACCACGGAACGTATTCGACTTACGTTAAGGTTCATATTGGCACAAGCGATATGAATTCCTACCTGAAATCCAAAGTATATAATATAATATATTATTGTTTGAAAATAAATAGTCTATAAGATATCAATGGTTACTCGGTAAAACGGTCTAAGCGACATATATATATATTATAGTACAAGTATAATATATGAAAACTTAAAATCAAAAAGAGCACTACAATTTCTTATACGCGTTTATGAACACGAGATTATAATATCATTTTAAAGTATTGGTTGTTAAGCTGATAACATTTGTAAATAAATATGTCCTATTAGCTAATACTAAAATGTTTAATGTAAGTATTTCAAAAGCTTTTGTTAATTATTTATCATACCGATATATTACAGAGTGTTGAGTTTAAAACTTTCAAAGATTTTGAATTGAACACTAGTGAAACCTTTACCCAGAATTTTGTAATGTACTATCAAAAAGTTTCATTCAGGTAGCCGAAGAATGCAAATGACGTTCTTACAGTAAACGATTTGACTATGCTTAAGAGATTTACCTATATTTAAATAAAATGGTTTTTTCGATTGCTGGATAATTCAAATCGAGGATTTCGTCTTGAGGAAAACACTTACTAATTTAATAAATAAAAAAGTAATTAAATAGAAATGTTTTTTCTTTTATATAAAATTAAATTTGGTTTTTGACGAATAAAGAGTTTAAATTGATAATGTTGTATCGCTCTAAGAGAACATACTTTATTTGTATAAAAAAATAGGTATTCGATTAGTCCAAATTACAATTATAACTATTATTTAGTACACATATCGTAAGAATTTAGTCTTGTCTATATCAAAACAAACATAACTTTGTTCTGTGAGTAGTAAATGAATATAACGTTATTTTTAACAGATTCTTCATTCAAAAATATGAAATACATTTTATTGAATAAAGGTCTTTTAGCGAACCATTAACTATAAAACCTTAAAAGTATATTTTATTGATTGGGGGTTTACCGTTAGGTGTTAAATAGAATTCGTTTAATATATATATATATATATACTTTTGGCTTAATAAAAAAATATTCTTATAGGATGAATTACAGCCTGTCATTAAAATGGTTTTAAGCTGTAAAATATATTATGTTTACGTTAACGTCTAGTGTGTGCTTAACTTATAAAAACTGATAATATAAAGCCTACAGTTAATGCGACCAATGAGTTTGAATGTATAGGAATAACAGTTACAAAACGATTTTCGAACACTATAATATTATTATGTTGGTACAATGTCTGGTTACCTAGTTTTACAATTTCTACAATTTATCACATTAATTAATTGCAGTATTTAGTTACCGTTCCACGAATATTGAATACAGCCCTGGAGACGGTAATATATATTCAATGATTTTGTCCTTTCTTGTTCTAGATAGGATTTATAATATGTACAGGGTAAAAAAAATAAATCAATATTATT